TTTTGGTTAATACTATTGCTCTGTAGTGATAGATCAGGTAAGCAGAAGCCAGAGTGGAAGAGGCGTTGCTTGAGTAAAAAACCAAGACTGACATAAGAAAAAAATCAGTGTTAATAAATGTAGTCTAAACCCCAAATTTCATAGAATTATTTAGGTTGGAAAAAGCCTTTAAGCTCATCATGTCCAACTGTTAACCTAGCACTGCCAAGCCCACGACTAAACCATGTCCCTAAGCACCACATCTATACATCTTTTAAATGCCTCCAGGGATGGTGACTCAACCACTTTGCTGGGCAGCCTGTTCCAATGCCTGACAACACTTTCTGTGAAGAAATTTTTCCTAATGCCCAATCTAAACCACCCCCACCCCCCTGGCGCAACTTGAAGCCATTTCCTCTCATCCTGTCACTTGATACTTGGGAAAAGAGACCAACACCCACCTCACTACAACCTCCTTTCAGATAATTTGAGAGAGCAATAAGGTCTCCCCTCAGCCTCCTCTTCTCCAGACTGAACAACCCCAGTTTCCTCATAATAATTTGTTATCTATCAGACCTGCAAGGTTTTGGACTGGCCTTCCACTGGCACAGGGTGGGCAATGACCTATCTGGTTCTAGAAACAGCATGCTGTGTTTACATGCAAGGTTGTATGACATGGTTGACTGCAATAACAACTGGGCTCAGTGATCTGCAAAAGCTTTAGGTTGGTAGGTTTAAGAACAGGAAGAGCTGGATTGTTTTTTTTTTTTTTAAACACATCTGAATTCAGATGGTGCCTGGTCAGTTACATACAATGATCCAGAGCCAGAAGAATATATCTACATATATTTTCCAGACATTAAATAAATGATTATTCATGCTTACTCTGGAGCACCTTAAAGCAGAAGTTGGCCTCCAAGTCAGCAGCAAACCTTCCGTAATCGTTTGGTTTTCAGCGTATGTACCATATCTACCACATTCCTTTTCTCACACCACACTGAGTACAGAAAATGCTTAGGTAAACATGAGAGTAGCAGCTCGCTATTTGATCCCGCACGTTAATCCTGATGTTATGCTTAGATAAGCTCCTCCAGATCTAATCGGTTGGGGAATCCATGACCAGAGATGTCACTGTTGAGTGAAAGGTCTTCATCAGTGCTAGTAACTGTAAATCCACACCACCCATGGGACTGCATTACCTTTAAGGGAAGCAGAAGTCCTTTCAACACCTGTATTAATTTGCTTTAAAGACGTTGGCAGATCCTTATGTACTTAAGACTATGAAGGTGCATGTGATTACTCCACTTGTAACCATATACTCACATTTTAACTGGGCAGCCTGGAGACCAGACACGGCTGGACAAGAGAACAATGCCAGACGGTGCTATCAAACCTACTCGTGTTCTCTGTGCTAAAAACCGCAAGCGTTTTAGGGGAGCAGTTTGATTTAGGAACAGGGTTACGTCTTCTGCAACTACCTTTTTCTGTTTGTCAGATACCAGCAAATTTCCATTTATCGAAACCACAGCCAACTGCTGCTGTAACGTGGCTATGTAGCAACTAACGGAAGAACACCCCTCTCCTCTCGGAACCCGTGTGTTTTCACTAAAAAAAATCTCCAGCGCAAGAAGGAACGGCCGTGGTCTGAGGTACGGGAAGCCCACTTACATTGTTAAACCTGAGGGGGACCGGGGCTGTCTCGACAAGGCACTTCCCTCGCTCTGCCTTTTGAGTCCCTCTCGGCCGCCGGCCCCTGCCTCCCCGCCCCGCCAGCCCCGAGCGGCGGCGGCGGCTTCCCGCCGCGCTGAGGGGAGCCCGCCCGCCGCGTGAGGGGAACGCCGGCGGCCCGGCGGGCTC